GGTTCACCTAGCATGAATGGTGTAGCTGAAAGACGAAACAGGACTCTTAAGGATATGGTAAGAAGTATGATTGCTCATTCTTCTTTACCAGAGTCACTCTGGGGAGAAGCACTTAAGACAGCAGCTTACATTCTGAATAGAGTACCAAGTAAAGCAGTTGCTAAAACACCTTATGAGCTTTGGACTGGTCGAAAGCCCAGTTTAAAGCATTTACATATTTGGGGATGTCCAGCTGAGGCAAGGCCTTATAGGCCAAATGAAAAGAAATTGGACTCCAAAACAGTTAGCAGCTACTTTATTGGGTACCCTGATCGCTCTAGGGGCTATAAGTTTTATGATCCCACTATAAGGAATATTTTTGAGACGGGAACAGCAACATTCTTTGAGGATGTTGAGTTTGGGGGGAGAAATAAGGTTAGAGACATTAGTTTTGAGGAGGAATTGGCTTCAGATCCAATCCATACAGTTACTTTTGACAATATTCAGGTTCCTATACCTGTTGTTGCTCAAGAAGTAAATCCGGAACCTCAAGATGATAATGTTGAACAACTCCCTGTTCCAGAAGAACAAACTCAACAACCTCAAGAACCAGTGCCATTAAGGAGATCCACGAGAGAAAGGAGAAATGCTATTCCGGATGATTATATTGTATTTCTCCAAGAACATGAGGAAAGTAGTGGAATGTTAGAAGATGATCCAATCAACTTCTCTCAGGCCATGAAAAGTTCTAACTCTCAACAGTGGATTGATGCCATGAATGAAGAGTATAAGTCTATGCAAGACAATAAGGTTTGGGAACTTGTCCCATTGCCAGAAGGTGCAAAACCAATTGGTTGTAAATGGATTTTTAAAACCAAGCGGGATGCAAACGGTAATGTGGAGAGGTATAAGGCGCGTCTTGTGGCTAAAGGCTATACTCAAAAGGAAGGCATTGATTATACAGAGACTTTCTCTCCGGTTTCATCGAAAGACTCTTTCAGAATAATCATGGCACTTGTTGCTCATTATGATCTTGAGTTACATCAGATGGATGTTAAGACTGCATTTCTCAATGGAGACATTGATGAGATGATTTATATGGTGCAACCAGAAAACTTTGTGTCAGGAGACCCAAAGAATATGGTTTGCAAATTAAGGAAATCCATCTATGGACTCAAGCAAGCTCCTCGTCAATGGTATCATAAGTTTCAACAAATAGTTATCTCGTTCGGTTTTGAGATGAACATTGTTGATGACTGTGTATATCACAAGTTCAGTGGGAGTAAGTATATTTTTCTGGTTCTGTATGTGGATGACATCTTGCTTGCCACTAATGATATAGGCATGTTGCACGAAACCAAGAGATTTCTATCAAAGAATTTTGAGATGAAAGATCTTGGGGACGCCTCTTTTATATTAGGGATCCAGATACATCGAGATCGCTCTCGGGGTATTCTTGGATTATCACAAAAGAGCTATATCGATAAGGTACTTAAAAGGTTTGGCATGCAAGATTGCAGACCAGGTGACACCCCTGTTGCTAAAGGAGACAAGTTTAGTCTCAATCAGTGCCCTAAAGGTAACCTTGAAATTCAGGAAATGCAGAAGATTCCTTATGTTTCGGTTGTAGGAAGTCTAATGTATGCTCAGGTATGTACGCGTCCGGATATTGCGTACATTGTTGGGATGTTAGGCAGATACTTAAGCAACCCTGGTATGGATCATTGGATAGCAGTCAAAAGGGTTATGAGGTATCTTCAGAAAACAAAAGATTACATGCTCACATACAGAAAATCAGAGAAATTAGAGGTCATTGGGTATTCGGACTCTGATTTTGCTGGATGCCAAGATAGCAGGAAGTCTACATCAGGCTACATTTATATGTTAGCAGGAGGAGCTATATCATGGAAAAGTGTCAAACAAACACTAGTAGCTTCCTCCACTATGGCAGCAGAATTTGTAGCTTGCTATGAGGCATCCAATCAGGGAATATGGCTGCGAAATTTTGTCACGGGACTGCGCATTTTGGAAAATGTTGAAAGACCACTAAGGTTATATTGTGACAATAAATCTGCAGTAATGTATTCCAATAACAACAGGAGCTCAACTAAGTCAAAACATATTGACATTAAGTTCCTGGTTGTGAAAGAAAGGGTACAGAGTGGACAGATATCCATAGAGCACATTGGGACAAACTCAATGATAGCTGATCCTCTTACTAAGGGATTACCACCTAAGGTCTTTCATGAGCATATTGCTCATATGGGTGTGGTATTATTTGAGGATATTATGTTTTAGTGGGAGTTTGTATTTGTGGTGCTTTATGTTTGTTTGTATTGTCTGATCAGAATAAAGTTTTCAGTTAAGACACTCTGTTACATTATGTTTGGTTTTGACCTCATTAAGGAGGACCAGTTGAAAATAGACATGTACTGATCACATTGCATGTAATTTTCATGCTGCACATCCATGATTGATCTATGTCGTTTGATTGTATTGGTATATGTGACCATTGATGGGTCGAGTCACGATAAATGTGACGAAGGCCGCTTTGATCCTATATTGATATAGTCAATGGACGAGATTGTTCAGAAATACCATTTCAGTGATAGCAATTTTTGAGCTCATAAGGTTATACACAATTTAAGGAATCATATGGTGCCCAAGTGGGAGATTGTTGGATTTAATCTAATAAATCTATTTGTGGGCACATATGATTAATCAATGTGTATTGCTATCTTTCAGGATAACCCACTAAAGTGATCAATTAAGTTGGGTTAATTTGGTATTTAAATAAGTCATGGGGTTATATGTGCAGATACCAGGTTGTAATTGTAATTTATTGAGGGGCTAAATTACAAAAGTACAACATCTATAAATAAGGGGTTATGGTCCCTAACCTAGGGTTAACATTCTCTAATTCTCTACACCCCCATCTAGCTAGAGAAATTCGGATTTGGAGAAACCCTAAGGTTAGAAGATCATCAAAAACCCAAATCAAGTTTTCATCCATGGATTCAGGTATAAGCTTCCGCTCTTTTGTTTTTGTTAATCTCTTTGAATTAATCATGGCTATATGGTTTTAGATCTCAAGTTTTATGATGTAGATCTAACAGTTTAACCATCTATTTATCTTACTCTATCTGGGAATGCTTTCGGGAGGTAACTACACAACTAGCGTTTCTGACAATAAAATATCACACCACATTAAATGTGCCCAAATCAAATTAGGACAAGGAACAAATTGAGTAGAAATCTTCTTCTTATTCATTTCCCTTTCAAGATACTAAAAAAAATCTCAAAAAAAAAAAAAATCTTCGGAGAAGAAATATGTTTGAAAAATAAAATGGTCCCTTATGAATTTTTCTGTTGACATGACTGAGGATAGTTTAGATAGTCTATTCAAAACATGAATATTGTTAATAATATATTCAATAGTTTATATAGAGTAAAGCTTAAGAAGAATAAAAATCCTATATCACAACTATCCTTATAAAAGCAGAGTGATTTAAAATTTGGCTTTTTTTTCCCTAAAACCCATAAAAATTATGTCATTTTGGTGAAAATTAATTAAAGGGGAAAAAGGAAAAAATGCTGAAAAATGCTGAGAATGGACCATCTTGTTTGCGTACAAGTTGTACGAAATTATGTATATCTGGATGAAAAATGCTGAGAATGGTGTGATGAAAACCAACAAATTATATTAAAATGGTTGTGCGATTGGTGAGTTGGTTTAATGTGGGAATTAAAATAGTGTGTGCGTGTTGACGCATCTATAAAACGATTAGCAAAATTAGTGAGTCTAAAGCCCAATATGGGAATTAAAAATAGTCTGTATTTTTTACAACTTTGGATATTCGAAGTAGACTGATATCTATTCCATGTTTAAAATACTAAAAGGAACTTCAAAGTGTCATAGAAATTATTATTTATAAAAATTATCACCAAATAGTTTATAAAATCTTTTTTTTAAGGCCAATTGATACAATCAATGAGTAGCTATTATAATTACACGTTAATTACTGTTAAAGGAGTTGGAATTTTTTTTTCCTATCAGCATGCTGAAGAATGATGAGGGCATTTCAAGTAGGGGGTTAATTAACAACAAAAGCGTAAACAGAAATCATTTTTTCATAATTATAAATTAAAATCTTTTTAAGGACTATAAAATTTTGAAACTTTAGAGTTATATGAATGAAATTTCGTTTACTTGCAACAGATAACTAAAATGTCTTAACACTTGAAATGTCCTCACAATTTTTAGCATGCATGCAACATGTGGGCCGGAGTATTAGTTTATTATTATTATTTTTTTAACTTTAATCTTAAACACACAAGCATTTTATATAGGAAGGCGCTACAGGCACACCCTCAGACACACTACCAACCACATCCCGTTTCTATCTACAGTGCAGAGGTCTCATATCAGATTTTCTTTAAAAATCTGATGTGGAGCCCTCTGCACTGTAGATAGAGAGGAGGTGTGGTTGATGGTGTATCTGAGGGTGTGCCTGTATCATTTTTCTTTTACGTAGGCCCAGTTTAGTGATACGGGAGCCCATCTTGCCACCTCATCTACACGTCAATGAAGACGAAGGATAACCGTCTTCTTTTTCTTCCCTCCATCAAAATTAAAATTACTTTTACGATTAGGGTTTTTTTTTTCCCAGTACCAAAACCCCTATTAAAATTCTCCCTCAAATTTCATCTTCAACCTCTCATATTAGATTAGATTCGGATCCAAATCCAAGCTCCACAGACAAACCCTAACCCCGCACCAAAAAAACCCCAGCC